TACTTTGTTAATTGAGGGATACCTGAACATTTATAACATTTAATTGGGTCAGGGCTACATTGCTGAGGGATGTACTTCAGTGTGATTTTGATTATGACTCATTCTTTAAAAAAGTATTACTGATTTTTTTCCTGCTAAAAAAAATAGCTCCTACCTCTTTCCTCAGTGGATCTATAAATGTGATGATAGAGGGGAATTTATTAGTCAGTTCCAGGTATACGTCAACCATTTCATCAGCGGTCTTGTATGTTCCAAGTAGTACTTCATATTTTCCTTTACTCTAAAATTTAACATATTGACAAGTTACATCAACATGAAGCTACCAAATCATCTTTTTAATAAGGGCAGGATACAAGTAAGGAATTAGATACACTGAGAGACCACAAAAGTGGTCACTAGCCTTGTTTGGAAATGAAGCCACCTTCACCACCCCATGTGTGTCCTTCCCTTTACAATAGCATCCCTTTAACATGTAATACAACCACAGCGGTGAGAGGACAAACCACTGATAATTTTGAAAAGAGCCATTTTCAAAATTAAGATAATGAAAATAAAGCTTACATAGTCCATTAGTTCATGTGCAGCACAGTTTAGCCCCAAGTACATATCAATGCCTAATTGCAAGGACAGATTTGCACAAGCTGATTGGATCAAGGTCAGAGGGTGTTCTAAACTTTCACTCCCAATTACATGACAGCCTAAGTGCGACATTTTTTTAAGAACAGGAGGCTGCAAAAAAGAAACAATAATATTGACATTAATTTACACATGCGCACATACAAATAAGTGCCTCAATGACACACATTCTCCTCCACAGGCAAATACATTGTCATCAGTGCAGTCCAACCTCCATATCTGTTGGGGGGTCTATTCCCATTGTTACTGCAGAAAACACAGTTAACAGGGAATGGCAGAGGCTCACCACAGAGTCACTCTGGAGGACCTCCAGATGCTCAGAGAGACTTTTATCCTGACGTGGGTAAGTGAAACCACAGTTACCAATCACGTGAATATGGAAGTAGGACTATACATCAAAGACTGCAGATACTATACTGCTTCTCAGATAACTAGTTCTTCCTCTATATATATTTTGTAGCACAGTTTATGATAAAACTGCTTTTTCTGTCTTTGAACTGGATACAGTTAATCAGTGCCTACACATTAGGGGTGGGGATCATGTGGCCCTTTAGATTTTGTTTGACTGCATAACCAGTGGTACAGGGAGCTGCAGTTCAACAACTTCTGGAGGTAAGTGTGAGTCCCTCTCCAGCTTACATGAAGCCTATCAGGTTGGTTCATCAGACGCATTTCTAGAGATGGAAAGACAATAGTTACTATGCAAGGCTTCAACATGCCATCTGCAAAGATACTGTCTCATGTTTTCTCCAGTTTGAATTACTGTCCAGCAATTTTATGGTCACAGCATTTTGAAAAAAGAACATGAAAATATGTTGTAGCTTTTAGACAACTTATGAGGGGGTATTGTAAAGTAATAATTATCAGCCAGAAGTTTTTATGGTATATTGATGAAATGTTGTCATTGTCATCAATGGTCCCTAAGTGCATGATATTGTGTCCTTTATTTTTGTTACAGGTTGTGGCAGAAGTGACTAAAGTGTAAGATGGAGAAGACTGAGGCTCACAGCATGATAACTTTTCTACATTTGAAGAGTAATAGTGCCTGGCAAATTCATGATGAGATGATGGTAGTTTATGGAAACGATTATCCATCTTATGACACTATTGTGAGGTGGAAAAGAGTTTCCAAACTGGTCACATAACCCTCACAGACAAGCCAAGACCTGGAAGACCATCATTGATGGACGATGCGGCCACAGTGAAGAAAGTGGAGTCTTTAATCCTGGAAGACAGATGAGCAACCATCCAAATGATCATGAATGAAACTGGTCTCAGCTATGGTAGTATGTGAAAATTATTCATGACGAACTGCACGTCTAAGGTATCTGAACACTGGGTTCCACGTTTGCTAATCCCTTTTCAAAAACAAACACAGTATGACCTTTCCAGATAGATATTGCTGCTGTTGGAACACGATGAAAATGATTTTTTTGGTCATCTGGTAACCATTGATGAATCTTGGATCTATCAGCATGATCCAGAGACCAAAACTATGAGCATGGAGTGGAAGCATGACAATTTCCCTCCCCCCAAAAGGCCAAAGGTGCAAAAGTCAGCAGGGAAGGTCGTGCTGTTTTTTTGGGACTGTTGTAGAGTCATTCTCACAGATTACCTTGCAAAGGAACATACCATCACTGGCACATACTACAGCAATCTTCTGGACAAGTTGTGAGATGCTCTGAAAAAGAAATGCTGCATTATGCTCTCCAAAGGCATTCGTGTCCTAGCTGACAACACACCAGCTCACTCATTTCAAGTTGCAGTTAACAAAGCAAGACCATGCGGCTTTGAGATCTTGCAGCATCCGCCTTCTTCTCCCAACCTCACACCAAGTGACTTCTTCTTGTTCCCAGAAATGAAAACTCCATTGCAGGGTTGCCAATTTGACAACACAAATGACGTCATTCTTGAAGTGGAAGAGTGGTTTAAGGCACAATCTGCAGGCTTCTACAATAATGGTATTCAGAGGGTCAAGAAACACTGGGGAAAATGAGAATCTGGATGATGACTATGTAGAAATAAATTAACAACTACAAATCAAACTTTCTGTCAATTTTTTTAAAGGTGATAATTAAAACTTTACAATACTCCCTCATACAAAGAAAAAAACGAAGCCATCACACTGTTTCCAGGTGATCAAGCATTACTACTATTTTTTAAAGCAGTAAAAAACAAAAATAATGGGCATAATCCAATCAAAACAAAGTATAATTGATTCAATGGGCAAGATCTAAGCATGAGCTTAACTTAGAATTTAAGTTACTGGGATTTAAATAGAGTTTAACATTAGCTAGATTATGGATAACTGAAGCTAGCTTGTCCCTTAAAACCCTCTTATGTTTTGATTCCTATAGCTTCTTCCATCTTTTTCTTAAACACAAAAAATCAATTTAAGGAGGGAAAGATGGATTAGGTTCACACTGTGTTTTGAGTTGCAGAACTAGGAGTTATTTATTTGGGAGCACCTCTTGTTTCATCTATCATTTCTATTGAGTAAGCACTATGTAAGCACAGATCATGTAACTGTGTTCTGACATATCAAAACACACTTCTTTACACATATTTATTTAGATTTCTCTCATCCAGTACCAAGATTTTCAGTGCAAAAGTAAAACAACAAAAATACATAAAAATACTGCAGATAAAACATCCTAAGTATAAACTTACACATTCCAACTGCAATAAAACTATGACCCAAGAACTGTCACATACAAATTCTTCTGTCCTAATCTAAGGCAGCATCTCCTCCTCACTATCCAAGTAACATAACTCATGTTTTCTTCACACATGCCCCTCAGAAGGGCAAAACCCAACTCTCAATAAATATACTGAGCTTCTAAAACCTTTAGAATTTCAAATGGTATGCTACACAATGATGTACAACTAAGCAAGAGAAACTAGAGACCAAACCAGCATGATATGTGATCTCTGTGAACTGATCTTCGTGGGAATGATACTTTTAATAGATATTACAGATTTAAGAGACAGAGTACTACTTAACCTCTTTCCTATCTTCCTTTCCCTTAAGAGTGGCAACGACATGAAGTCCAGTTTGAAAGGCTAAAAACTGGGAATGTACAGATTCACAACATTCTCTTGACAAGACAATTTGAGGGGAACAGCCCTGAGTTCTGTAAAGGATGCCACAGACATGACATTTACCTGAAATTTTATGGACCAGGAACAATTCATTAAACTTTCCAAATGTCTTATTTTTACTTCCTTAGGAGGGATTGAGTGTTGCATTTTTGCTGAACATACTCTATTACTAGCCTTTTAATATTTTATTCTGTTATAAAACAATTATCAGTAGCAATAATTGTACTCTTCTCTAGGGTACAAAGGCAATACATGTTCTCCTTTGGTGTATAACTAAAAATCTCATTCCAGTGAAACAGTGGTATTTTTTGGTTAATACATAATGAACTGTTATGCTGTCATCTTATGAGTCTGATAATTATGCTGTGCAATAACTCACTTTTAAGATCACGACTGCATTATTTTTCTCCTTACCGGAGCTTTTTTTGCAGCATCGCGTGAAGCAGGCTTTTTACCCTCTCCCATGGAGCTAGGTGGTTGCACTGGCTTTTAAAAATTGTTTAAAAACACATAAATATTCAAACAAGAATTAACAAAAGGTTAGCTATACTTTATCTTAACAACCTTGAGGATGTTATGCAAAGTAACATTAAGGAATACACAGGTAAAATTAATGCAGACAGTACTCAGAAAACCAAATTTGAAACAATACCTTTTTATTGTTAACTAACAAAAGATATCCAACTTAACACTATGAATAGCATTACTGAGTTGGAATGAACTGCTTCTAGGAAATAAAATGAAGCATATAGTTCAAGTACAAGAAATAAAAACAGTCTCTATAACACAGTGCCACATCATATAAATTCCTAAAGTGATTTTACCTCCCATGTGTCAGTAGAATTTAACACATTTTAAAACGTTGAAGATTTTCACAGGTGATGCTATTAATTCCTTAAATAAAATGAATGAATTGGAAGCTCCTTTTAATGCGACTGGAGCAATATTCAAGTCAAACAGAAAGGTTATGCAATTTTACTCCAGTTACATTAAACCAACAAGTACACACTTGCTACACTAGAGTAAGGGAGAAAAACTGAGATCCAGTATAGTTTAGTGGTTTGAGTGCTGGATTAGGACTCTAGGAAATGAGGGTTCAAATCCCTGCTGAACCATGGAACTGAGTTACTGAGTGACTTTGGACAAGTGACATTCTCTCAGACTCATAGTAAGGGAAGAGCAAACATCCTCTGAATAAATCTTGCCAAGAAAATCATATGATAAGTTCACCATAAGTCAGAGTCAATTTGAAGGCACACAGTAACAACAAAGCAAACAAAAGTCTACTATTAGTTTAATACATCTGGAGTAAACCTTTTTCTATTTGATACAATATTGTTCCTGTTGCATGAAAAGGGGCTTCCAGAGTATCTATTTTATTTAAGAGTGTTTATACCATCACCTGTGAATAAATCCTACAATTTGAATAAATGTGAAATAAAACAGCTACATAAAATGTCATTGCACATCAATATGCTTACTACAAACTGCTTTTGGGCACAAGGAGACCAGACCAGAGGTGGGTGGGATGTGGACTGTTACATCTCAAGAGGTTGGTTATGTAAACAACATTGTGTGTATCTTCCTGGTGAGTAAAACAGCACAGATCTTGTTCTGGTTCCTTCAGCATAATTCTATCAACTCAACCATTATTTCTTCATTCCTCTTTGACAATTAAAATAAATAAATAAATAAA